CTTGCTTACTTACTAAAAGCTTTGTTTACTGAACAATTAATTACTGACGACCTATGATTTCCTGGTGTTTCTATTTCTACATGGGACCACTTAGTGAAGTCATGCTGAGTACTAAAATATGACTTTGTTTTTCTTTCATTAATTCTTTTTTCCTTTGGTAAGGACCATTTTATGGAAAACAACAGGATTTAATTACTCGTAAAAGAAAATATGGGTTAAGTTCAGTGACCTCTCCAGGTATTAGTAATTCTCGTTTTCATTCAAAGAATGTCGATATCAAAAAGTTTTGCCTGGGTATTTGAAATCAGACATGGAGGAATTTACACTTAGAATATTACTATAATTATTGACATAAACGAAAATCATGGAAAATATCAAAATCACATAATTAACAAAGGATAATTTTAATATAATCTCGATTACAAAATCGATTTTAATAACCAAATATCATTAGCGCACCACTTCATAGGTACTATGATGATATGTTGCTAATGCCCTCCGGACAGTTTTGACGAGGGTGCCTCTGTCACCTGGCGACATTGATGGAGAAACTGATCATTTGTATCCAACCTCGTAGTACCTATACCACTAAAAGGGGTAGATTATTCACGTAGAGTGAAGTTCATGAAAACTTGATAGATAAAAGCCTAAATCTCGCTCATAGATAAGAATGTAGTTATTTGTATTATTAGCAAGGTGTGAATTTCCAAAACAAACAATAAAACTGATGTATTAGCACAAGTTATAAGCAATTACTAAGTGTCATTTTTTTGTTCGGCGACATCAATGAGCTTCATATAACATGACACTGTACTCCAAGTCACCATACAAGCTTATCTCGCTAGTATCTACTGCTTAATGGACCGACAACTCTTCAAATAACAACTACACTAATTAATTTGCTAATCACAAACTGACAGATCTGAACACGAACCGACTCTTTCGCAACATCCCTCCTTTTTATTCGCGAAATAAGACCAAAAAATTCAAGTACATGAATAATTGTCGCAATCTGGGCCAATCAATAATTATATGTTCGGTATAAAAGGGTGGTTCTCTAGAGGACTACCATCAGTTGCACCTGAGACTTCGACAATGCAGACTATTGTAAGTGGCGAGAGAAAGTGTTTGGGAGTGATTAATGTGTTGAGTGCAATGGGGACGATGTGAATAATGCGTTTGTGATTTAAATAAAAAAGACGAATATAATCGATTGCATGTGCATCAAAAATATTCTTGGATTTCATTTAAAAATTGGGTTCATTGTTCATAATAACAATCTTGTCATCTGAGTAAGCTTTTTATTTCTTTCATTTCTAGATCATCATCAGCGCTATCCTGGCTTGCGGAGCTGCTGCTCCAGCCTACCTCCTAGCTGAAGAGGCTCATGTAGTCCACACCTTGCCAAGCAAGTCTACTTTCACCCAGAGCAGCCAGGTCGTCAACCATGGAAGCACCCACGTCTTGCACCCAGTTGAGACCATCCACACTATCCCTGTCGTCCATGCTAAAACCACCATCACGAAGTCCAACCAAGTTGTCAGCCACGGCGGCACTTACGTCCATCCAGTGCACTCCATCAGTGTCATGCCTGTCCATGAAGTCTACCATGTGCCGAAAACTACTGTCACCAAGAGCAACCAGGTTGTGAACCATGGTGGTACTGCTGTGCTCCATACTCCCGTGATTCATACTCCCGTGGTCCATGCTCCCGTGGTCTCCGTGTCTCATCCCGTGGTCTACCACTCCTCACCACTGGTGACCCTCAAGACTGGCGACTCCGCAGTGACTCACCACAGTTCCACTGTCCACGAAACTGTGCCAGTTGTGAAGTCTAGCCTAGTCACTTTTCATCATTAATTAATTTTGTCATTGTTTTGTTTGAATAAAGATTTGTTTTATTTCTGAATTGGTTTTTTACTTATTTAACAAATAATAATAAGTTTATTATTATTTTCCTACATTTGTAATGGATACTGAGTGTTATATAAAAGTGGTCTCGAATGAAAAGTTGTTAAAGCTCTCAGAAGCTTGCCAAGTTTAAAACTAGTTTCAAAACTAGTAACGAAGTAACTTTTTGAATATTATACATTACAAGTATATATGGAAAATTTCGATATCTAAAAACCCAATAGAATCTAACCGGGGTATCGAACTAAACACGTTGTGCATAACAGTTACATATTAGACCAAAAATGTTCTGGGTAGAGTAAACATTATGTTTACGATAACTGATGAAGATTAACTGTCATTTAAAAAAATGGATTAAAATATGATAAAGTTAGTTGTGCATTTTGAAAAAAGAGTTCCCTATAACTTAAAGTTACCCATGTTCATGCCTTATACCGACGTGCAGGAAAAGGAACGGGGTGGTTTTTAGTCAGTAAGAGTCTGACACTCCCTCCCGCCTCACCCAGGCGGGAGCAGTCATTCGATGATTTCGGAAAATCCTTAACACACCCTTAAAAAAATACTTATTAGCATAGCAAAATTAATTGTATTCGGTACCTAAATACACATACAACTAAACAGATCTAGAATTACTTCAACTAGCTTATTTCAACAAACAACAAAAAAAACTAATTAAATTACCTACATAACAATATTAATGTCGTTAACCGCCGTAATTTATGTCCTCCCCCTTACAAATCAAAGAAAATGTACGGAGAACATCTCCAACTACACAGCCTCTGTTCCATTTCCTAAGCAAATAAATCATGATATACAAACAAAAGCTATGATGTGAGACTGTAAGTGATTAAAACGAATTACCATCTATTAATATAAGGAATACAAGTGCGTTGAACTCGAGCAATCAGTGTGAAAGGTTGAATCCATGGAGTTAAAAGTTGATGAATCAGTCTTTGTCTCCAGTCTTAGCTGTTAATAGGGAATTACTATTCTTTATGAACTCGATGAATTTCTGAGTCAAATATTACCATTAATTCTTATTCATGTTAAACTGCCTCATTGGTCAAGCGGTCTCGGGTTCGATTACCGGATAGGGCCAAATATTACTGTTTTTAGAATTGTGTCCTGGCAATTGGCAATAGGCTCACCCTCTATTACATGGGGCTCAACTAACATAAATAGTGAAAAATGGATGTTACATTACAGTGGCATTAAGTGCCGTTTATTTGCACCTCTGCCTACCCCTTCAGGGATAAACGGACTAATATTATTAATTTTTAAGAAAATTTACGTTACAATAGTTAAGTTAGTGTCATTTCTGAAGAGTAATTTTGTATAGTATCAATCATAGACTCAGTAGCTACTGTTTTAATTATTTCTTTGAAGTCTTTTAATCAATCATTCTAGTAAAATTTTATCTTAATCTTATAGACCTAATATATACATTAAGCGTTGCTTATCTAGTCCCCATCATCTATCCAAATGTAATGGTTGACTTCCTTTCATTAATCATTTTAAACAACACATTGCAAATTATTGATGCAATATAACTTTGATTATGTTACTTCATCAAGTCCTTGGAACATTATTTATTTTATCATTATTATTAATTAAGCTAATTGTCCGCTCGCATGTCGCTATTATTAAGAAATAGTATCAAATTATTGTCTGATCTCATCAAGGTTGTGTTGCAAAGCTTTGTAAGGAACTGTTAGAAATAGTGGATCAGATAACAACTGCTGTTGACTGTAGTAATATAACAGTGAAAGATGTAATTAATAACTACGCAATTGCCAACACCTACTGCGAGTAATTTAATATCAATAACAAAATTAACTGCCTCATTGGCCGAGTGCTCGCAAGTGCGACTGCCTGGCAAAAAGTCTCGAGTTCGATTCCCGGGTCGGGCAAAGAATTACTGGGTTTTAAAAAAAATCTCAGTAGTAGCACAGAGTCGGGGTTTTGTGTCCGGTATATGGCAATAGACTCACCCCCTATAACATGGGACTCGTTACATAAATAGTGAAAAGTGGGTGTTACATTGTACAGTGGCATAATGTGCACCTCTGTGTACCCCTTCGGGGATAAAAGGCGTGATGTTATGATGATAAGTTAACAAAATTAAAGGAATAATATTTCATTGTACATTATGACGAAATGACCGTTCTACCAATTAAAACTAAAAAAAACAAGTTGGTGTTTTATACAATACTCGTTTCTGTCAGTGGCTTCGGCAGCGTTCTCGTGAGATAAAATGTGGCCTATGTGTTATTCCAGACCTGTTCCAAATTTCATTTTGACGTGACGAAGCAAGAAAAAAACAAACATATAGACTTTTGTATTTACAATTAATAGAAAGACACACAAAAGTTACATATAAAATGTAGTGATAAAAAAATTCCTTCAGTGTAAGAATAATTAATTAATTAATTTAAAACTTCGTAAAACTGGTAACTGACAAAACCTTCGATCCTATCGCAAAATAAAATAAAATATAATTATGAAAACCATCCTTGAAAATGTAACAACAATACATCAAAAGGTTGTAAAATATATATTATACCCAGCGTGCATGAACTTGACATTCAAAGAAGGTGTTACGAAACGGCGCGAGCGCACGCTGCCGTACTACGAGATAATACTGTAGTCAGAAGGACCACTTATGTATCCAACGTAGAATTGACGGTTCAATACATAGTATAAAACAAAGTCGCTTTCGCTGTATGTCCGTATGTATGCTTAGATCTTTAAAACTACGCAACGGATTTTGATGCGGTTTTTTTTAATAGATAGAGTGATTCTTAAGGAAGGTTTGTATGTACAATATATGCATATTGCACCCGTGCGAAGCCGGGGCGGGTCGCTATTATATAATAAAGTACTTGCGCTACGAGTCATTTGTTTTATATTTTGAGTTGCATTTTTGTCAAAGAGCGAGAGAGAGACAGCAAGAACGCATTCGATTTATGTTGATAATCATAATGTTTATTTAATGAAGTTCAAAGTACTACTGCCTTCTAGATAATTGTATCCGATGTCTGTCAGTAGATTTTCATTCATATAACGATCTTAAACTGTCAAACACCGCGAGGTCACCGGTGACCGCAACCTATTGTTCTATAATTGTGTCTATAACGACGGTACTCAACGACTTAATAATGAGTGGAACTTCTGTCCATACTTTTATGGTGAGTATCATCAACATCATATTAATTACACGGTGATTAATGTAGTGTAGTTAATCTCGGGACGTGATGAATCGCGACACACTTAGAGTTTACGTAAATTTATAGTTTCTTTACAACAATATGTTAAGGTGGAAACCGATGATCAACTGTTGCATTGGCAACTACATAGAATCCCGGATTTTTTTTAAACTTGAGGAAGAGGCCCGGTCTCTATATCCTCCCCAAGGCGGACAATGCACTTGTGATTCTCCTCGTGTTATTGGTGGCCATATTTGTTTATTTATTTAGTCTTTAATGTACACAATTTGATTATGGCATATAAGGCGAACTTAATGCCATATGGCATTCTCTGCCAGTCAACCTTAGAGTTTAAGTAGAAAATCTGCGAAAAAGAAGGTATGGAGAATAAACTAACAGCAAAGAGAGAGAGAGAGAGAGAGAGAGAGAGAGAGAGGAAAAAAGAATAAAAAAAACTACTTTTGTATGAACAAATTATGTGGATTTTTCTTAAAAAACGACGGCTATTTAACCGGCTTCAAAAAAAGGAGGTTCTTTTATAGTGGATATTTATCTAAGTATTTAACTCGTCGAGTACCGTCATTATAGACACAATTATAGAACAATAGGTTGCGGTCACCGGTGACCGCTTGGTGTTTGACAGTTTAAACAACGAACAAGCAATTAAGTCAGTTGTTTAGATTATAATCAATCATGTTTAGTCAAATAAAGTTTTAAATATCCTCCCACGACATAATATACAAGTTATATAACACCACTGCCTCGTTGGCCGAGTGGTCGCAAGTGCCGACTGCCTGGCAAGGGGTCTCGGATTCGATTCCCGGTATTGATACTATTTTTTGTCGAATTATGTAAGTTTTCCGGGTCATGAAATCGGTCCCTGGAATCACGGCTTCTATAACATACTACTTGTATTGTGTTATATATGACATACTTTTTATTACATGGGCCTATTTGAAATTATATTTAGGTAGTACCTATATGCTGCCTAACTCGTCAGGGAATAAGTGGGCGTGGTGTTTTGTTAAAAGACAAAGATGTTGTCAAATCAACCTCTAGCTGTAAAACAACTACGTTGGAGTAATTAATTTTGCACACACTCAGTGTTAAAACAAAATTGCTATTTCGACCTCAAATTATTTAAAACATAAGATGGCCTTGGTTTGACTCCCTTGAAACGTACAACCAGACAAAAAAATACACTTCTTAATATTCATAGTTTGCTGTCAAGTAAAAGTAATTATTGAATTTAAAATTGACGTTTGATTGACCTTGAGTAGGCCATAAAAGATAGTGGAACCGAGACGCAAGTTTATTTGATACATGATTTATAGAGGACTGTGGAAGTACTATCTACTTATCCATCAGATTCGATTTCCTGCATATCAAGATTGGTTTTATGGCCCAATGTAAATGATATAACAACATCCTCAAGTTTCACAAATCTGTCAAATACATTAGTAGTTACATTTTTAATCGTAGACTCAGACGATGAACAACGCAATGCGAATTCTATATGGCTCGGCATAGAATTTGTATTGTGTTGCATCTTAATGGCTTTTCCATGTAGCACTGAGGCAATTGTACTACCTGTCTCTTTGAGAAAAGTACCAAACATAACGGTACATTACATTGTAACACCGAATAAGTCCATTACTTTAAATGTCCCAAAATTTCTTGTCAAGCGACTCGTACAACATTACGACATACTACGACCGCATCAGATACACGCATACATGCTCTTGCATGAGACAAAATAGTGCTGTCCGTCTGATAGCCATCGTACACATTACTGTAGTTACAGCTTATCAATCACGTTGTGCAAAAATCACTGTTTATTTTCTTAAAAACATGTATAAAGAATTTGTTCTGCAATAACAACTTAAAATGAAATAGGTAATAAGTGCATTTAATTTACATGTCTTAAAAAATTGTCGATAGATGTAGGAACCAGCTAATTGGCACGAAAAAGTATAATTATGATAATTTTCATTCTATATGCTATAGGCACTAAAGTGGTGTCTTCTACAGCTTCAAAGCCTTCCGAAAAATACAGAATAAAAAGTAAATCAAAACAAAATACTTTCTCTCGCCGAACACTCAAAAATAAATAGCAACAACTTTAAGCAAAGCGGAGATAAAACTAACCCAGCTTAAACCAACAACTAGCAGCAACTACTTACAAGAAGACGAAACAAATTCATTAACAAGAATGGCAATAAATATCCCCATCGTTCTGAACCGAGAACTAAAAATTAGACGCGCCATTAATTTTACAGGATCTAACAACATTGCTCCAGAGTCTAGACTAGACGAACTCAACTGATTTACTGCTCATATCTAAACATCTCAGACTAGTGTTTAATCCGGACAAAACAAAAGTTTTCGAATGTATCACTTGGAGACATGGGTGGAACTACTGATACAGAAGAGTCTAAGCTTTGAAATGAATGTAGAAAAAATATAGGGATTTTAATACAATAATTAATATACCAGAAATCTCACGATTACTACTTTTTTGACTCTTAATTCAAGACGACCTCTATAGTAATAATCTATGGTCCCATTCCATACATTGAAAGCCCCTTTCATTTAATTCCAGTTGAAAGTAAATCGAATAGCATTTTGTAAGCAATTAAACAGCGACTTAATTTTAACACCTTTAAAACGATATTAATTGGCATTGTATAATTTTGGGAACACCTCCATGACATTGAGCAAATTAATCATATAACTTCACGTAGTTCATTAATGGTTCATTTTTATTAACTACGCATTTTAAAGCTCCTTAATTTAAAGAGAGTGGATTAATGAAAGTAATGATTCCAGCTACATCTGTTCTGGCTTTATTGGTGACCTCAACACAGTTGTGAAGTTTTTAGAGGTCTCATCAACCCAAAATGGGACACCATTTTCTTGCACTTCAAAACAAACATTAATCTGTTTTAATAATAATTCAACGTTTATTTATCTGTCACCATTCGCAGATGGTCTCTTTAATGCATTCTCTGATTGGCTGCGTGATGAAAAAATTGTTGATGATAATCTGCTTCTGGACCTTATATATCATATTGAACCTACATAAACGTTCCCATACTACCAAAACCGTCGTCGATGTACTTTATTTCAATAAAAATAAATTCAGATTAAACTATCACAGGTGACAGTTTAAGTGGATACAATTAGCGAAATAGTCCTCCGTTTTTGGCATATGAAAGACTTACAATAATAAAGTTACCAAAAATTTTAAGTAAATGATAAAAAACTGAATGATGGAGATAAAGCTTTTGATGGCAAACCTTGCATCCTATAAAAGCTAAGAAATTAAATTAATAAGAAATCCGTGGTAAAAAAGTTACAAGAAGAATGCCATCCTAGTTCAAAAGATCCATAAGTCACCGAAATTGCGTCATATAAAATGTAAGAGCTACATGCGACACCCAGCCATATGAAGTTCATAAGTAGTCCAGCATTACATAAGTCCTTCGAGAACGAATGAACTTGGCATCAATCTAAATACAGTGTCAATGTTTGTGTTTATGCATTCATTAATCTCGACAAGTTCGATGGGGGCCAGATGTAGTCAGTGAAAGTGGATACGGCATGTACTTGCACAGTAGTCACATTGAAATTTGCATTCATATGAAATTATTCAATTAGGATCTCATTTGCTATTGACATAAGGTGTAATATTGAGATGATAAAATATGTGATTGGGTTAGAATTGTTCGATTATATAGAGCAGAAAAGCAAAACAGCAAATCCTGTTTTAACCCTTCAGATGCCGTATTGCTCTTTAGTTTGTAATTCATTTTAACAAATATTCCTTCTTTGTAAGTGCAAACGAAAGCTTTACATAATTCTATTATGTTTATGACATTATGTCTTGAGTTTTTGTTAGCGGTTAATCGTTTTCCGCAATATCTTTTTTTACTACGCTACAATTTCATTCACAAAACAAACAAGCTTACTACCATAGTACGTAAGCGCCTACTACGTCTTTCAACTTTGCCTCCTCCACAAAGCTCTATAATTTATACAGCCTCAAGTTCATTGCGCACTCATTGTCGATATTTGGCTGCGTGGTATATAAGCGCCAGTGGGCCAGCAGTTCGTTAGATTATTCGGCAGTCCAGTCGTATCAACAACTACCTCTTTAACCATGAAATCCTTTGTAAGTGTTAAAGATTATCGTCAGAAAATTTTCAATTATTTCTTCTAGTATTATTATTATTTAATAAATTTTTCATTTTCTTCTCAGGTTGCTTTCGCCGCCATCTTGGCTTGCGCCGCCGCTGCCCCAGGAGTCCTGGTGGCTCATGAGCCCGTGGTTGCTGTCCACACCCCAGTGGTTCACTCTGTTCCCGTAGTCGGTTCCAAGACCACCATCACCAAGTCCAGCCAGGTGGTGAACCATGGCTCCCCCGTGCACGCCGTCCACGCTGTCCACGCTGTGCACGCTCCAGTGATCGCTTCATCCCCTGTGGTGATTAAGACCGTGCACGCCGCCCCTGTGGTCCACGCCGCCCCTGTAGTCCACGCTGTCCATGCCGCTCCCGTCGTCCACGCCGCCCCCGTGGTCCACGCTGTCCACGCTGCCCCCATTGTCCACGCCGCCCCCGTGATCGTGAAGACCGCTCCCTCCGCCGTGGCTCACTCCAGCTCCGTCGTCCACCACGGTCATGTTGTCAAGGCTGTTCCCCTCATCGCTGTCCACCATTGATTTGATTTCCTTCAGTGAAGGATTAGAGATTATTTAAAAATATATTAAAAATATTTTTATAATTTATCTTTTTTGTTTTATTATGACAGGTATACTTACGTTTCATACTGTATATTATTGTATATACTGTATATTAATATTTTGGAAAAATATGTAATTGTTTTGCTGATGGATCATTAACTTTGCATAGAAACAACTTAAATAGGTAATAACTTTGTTGTAAATCAGCGTGTTATCTATTTTAAAGGCCGTAACTTTTTTCACTTGAAGCTATATGATTCTTTTTAAGCACTTACTACTGTTTATAACTTTTGTACTGAAAATATGGCACTTCAAGCAGTTATTAATGACATCGATAGCAAAAAATTACCCTCCATAAAAATATTAACGCCTCATTAATATCAAAATGCAGAATTACGATACCTCTTGCACTTTTGCACAACATGAGGAAAAAAATACTCGTAAATACATATAAGTGGCAGCCGTACATCAAGTAGTACAGACAGGTACACATCGAGTTACGAAAGACCAGTATAACCTGACCGTTGAAAGTGCAGAAATAGCATACGAAACGAGACTGTAATAAACTGGTAATGTATAATTTGATGTGCCTGTGTACAAACGAGAGTGAATTAGTTATAGTGGTTATTCGTAGTAAACCAGCTATCTACCATATTTGGACCGTTTCTCGGCGCGTGCTAATGTTCCTGATGTTACTCGGAAATATTTATATAGTTTTAATTATCATAGAGTAGTTAAATTATAATTTAGAGGTTTATTTTAGTGCCACAAACTTTATTGGGTTTTTACTGTTAAACTTATATTATGTAATGGTAGTAAGAAGTACGGAATTGTATAAGCTAGTTATAATGGGCGAAAAATAATGTACCGTAAGTAAACTATAAATTTTGAGGTATTTTATTAAACTCGAGTGCATAAAGTTCGTTGACACTATAAAGTTGACAAACAATATTTTTATAAAAACTACATTAAACTGAAATAAAATAATGACATGCATGAGAAAATTCACAATTTGAATACATTTTTCAATGTCAGCATAGATTTCGGTACTTGCACTCAATTAAAATCAAATGTTAAACTAAATAAACTGAGAGAAAATACATTATAAGAATACCGATTTATTTTAATTTTATTTTTTCTTAGTATTTCTTAATTAGGATCATCCTTGTACTAATAAGTTTTAAAATAACCAGTGGGAGGCCTTCAACATCGATCTGTATAGTGAACCTGATTGAAAAAGTGTGACCTATGGAGTTGCTTGCTCGTTCTTGTCCATAGGAATCTACACCTTGGAATGAGCAAATAGCTTCAATTTTAAATTTTTATTGACGTTCAAAAGTGCCTCCCTGGTCTAATTGAAATAAATGATTTTAAGTTTGGAAGATTATTTAATTGCTACACTTTAAGTATTATTAATACCTCTGTTTATTAAAATACTCTACGTTGGATAGCTATGCGAGTAACGCAGCGGGATACCCATAGTTACGGATTCAAATATCTATATGATGGACGACTGGTTATAATGTAGAATGTACCTAAAGCATTTTTAATGTCTGAGTTTAATAATTTATAGTGTCGGCCTTTAATAGTAAATATAGATGATACTCTTGTCTTTAATATACTTAACTCAACTCATAAGTTTAAGTGTATGCCAATAGCCTCATTTAGATTTAAAGAAAATACGTATAAAGGGGTTTTGTAGGTCGTTTGCAAACAAATTCACTTGTCTCAAATTATTAGATCTATGATATCATCGTTTATTTTTTTTTTAAATTCACTTAGAAATTTTTATCCTTACCAAGAACTGAATAGAATTTCAATGTGCAACCGAATTCAAGTGTCAGAGGGCCATGCAACAGCACGATTGGGCCGGCTCGACCGGAGTGATACCATGGCCTCTCGGAAACCAGACGTGAAACATAGCTTGCGTTATATGTCGTCGTGAGAGTGAGGTAATTGGATACGCCCCCTCCCCATAACA